GAGTTATAAATGGCTTTATATGTTATTGTTAATGTTTTTGAATTTTATCCGTTGGGCGATGGGAAGCCAGTGGAGGGATTGGCAATAGAATTTTAGGTAGCTATAATATCTACATAGAGAATAAACAGGTGGCGCACACACCTAGTGCATTATCCAAGGTTTATTGAAAGGTATGAAAGGTAAAAACATACTCACAGATGAAGCATGTATCTAAAAAGCATTTGCATAATGACGATGGCCACAATGGCAAGCAAGGTGTTCCAACTGTCAGTGCCTCTGAGGCATCACCAGCAAGGCTCCCATCATCCATCCACTACACATCTGCACCAGAGACTGGTCAGTAGCTCTGAGGAAAGGGATTTGTCCCAAAATGCATCAGTCTTTTGACCGCACTGACAGTTGGAACACCTTGCTTGCCGTTGTGGCCATCGTCAGGGGCAGACTGACAACTCATGGGGCCCCCGGAAATAGGGGATCATGGGGCCCCTGTGTCTTTGCCCAAACTCAAAAAAGCCTATGAAAAAGGTACCAGGGGCATCTCATGGAGCCCCCTACTGACCCCGGGCCCTCGGGCAGTGCCCGAGTTTCCAAATGGTCAGTCCGCCGCTGGCCATCGTCATTATGCAAATGCTTTTTAGATACATGCTTCGTCTGTGAGTATGTTTTTACCTTTCATACCTTTCAATAAACCTTGGATAATATACTAGGTGTGTGTACCACCTGTTTATTCTCTATCTAGTGGCTGATCTCCCCATCTGAGGAGGGCTGCACCCCTGAAGCATTTCCTTTGGTTGTCGCTGTCCTGGTTCCCTTGGCTTCCCTTTTGGCTGTGCATATCCTGAGAGTACATACGATATCTAGCTATGATGTCTGTACAGAGGAGCTCTCATTATAAATTGCATCCATCTTATTTTTGAAGTGATGGGCAATCTCCTGGTCAGCATGTGAATTAGTAGGTGGAGGCAGTGAAAGACAAAGTAGAGAGAATATTTGGTGGTGACTATCAGGGGCGGACTGACCATTTGGAAACTCGGGCACTGCCACAGTAGGGGGGCCCCAAGAGATGCCCCTGGTACCTTTTTCATAGGCTTTTTTGAGTTTGGGCAAAGGACACAGGGGCCCCATGATCCCCTATTGCTCGGGGGCCCCATGAGTTGTCAGTCCGCCCCTGGTGACTACATAAGAAAGTGTTAATGAGAGTGATAACATACTGTTGCTCTAATAATGTATGAAGTCTTGCTGGGATTTCATTTTATGGCACAGATGCTCAAGAGTTTGGTTATGTTTTTTGAGACTTCTGGTGTTTTTGTCTGCCAAGGTTGTTTAGTTCCTCTGACAACTTAACTGTAAAGGGTTGGTCAATTTTAACAGAGTGGTACATGCCATTGGGAGGATTGCAGAAGACTCAACGAATTCCGAAAAATTATGTTCCAAGTATATCAAGTCTGTTCCAGTATATGTAGAATGGGAGTAATTTTACATACAGTATTATATATATATATATATATATATATTATATATATATATATATATATATACAGTATATATATACTCTTATATAATACGGCTTTCCATTCCCCAGACATCAATCAATTGTGCTCTGTAAGGGTTTTTTTTATTTTTAATGAGTTTGAGCTTTGAGTATGGGACCCCAGTATACCAGACCTCTGACCACAGACTATAATACAGGCCGTTATAGTCTGTAGTTAGTATTTGGAGCATTAATATTTGCTATAGTAACTTCTTTGTTCCATAAGAAACCTTTGAGCATCAATTATCTGCCATTACTGTGACACAACATAGACCAGGGGTGGGCAAACTTTTTGACTTGAGGGCCGCAATGAGTTCATATATTGGACCCGGGGGCTGGACCAAGAGTAGATGAATGATGTGTATGTGTCATCCATAGTAAGTATAGTAATATTCCCCCATAGTAAGCATAGTAATTAATCCCCCATATATAGTAATTCATCCCCCATAGTAATTCATCCCCCATAGTAATTCATCCCCCATATAGTAATTCATCCCCCATAGTAATTCATCCCCATATAGTAATTCATCCCCCATAGTAATTCATCCCCCATAGTAATTAATCCCCCATATAGTAATTCATCCCCCATAGTAATTAATGCCCCATAGTAATTCATCCCCCATAGTAATTCATCCCCCCATATTGTAATTCATCCCCCATAGTAATTCATCCCCCCTATAGTAATTCATCCCCCCATAGTAATTAATTCCATTGCTGACATAGACTGTACTACTCCGCAGTATTTTCCGTCTTAGAGTTCCTAAAGTAACTGGAGAGGGAAGTCTGGGCAGAGAGCCAATTTTGAAATGTGTTTCTTGAAGACACACTATACCGCTCCTCAGTTTAGACAATTCCTTAAGCACTTTATATTGTTGGGAGCTGAAATATTTACAGGTGTAGTATATGTGTAGAAACATATAGTAAACTAAAATAGTCCGCATAAAAGTCTGCAACCTTTCTAGTTAGGTATGTGGGTGGATGCAGCATGGCGTGGGGGCAGTGAACAAGCTGGAGAAGTGGTGCACTCAGAATCTGGTGCAGCTGTGCATGGTAGCCAATCAGCTTCTAACTTCAGCTTGTTCAGTTACGCTTTGACAATAAAGCCTGGAAGCTGATTGGTTCCTATGTAGAGCTGCACCAGATTTTGCACCATGCAGTTTTATTAAATAACACCCACTGAGTCCAGTTGCAATTACCAAAACTTGTATTGAAGGAATGGTTCAAAGATACAAATAGACCAGCAGGAAGACACCCAGCTGGGAACAATCACAGTTCTTTGCAGTAAGGTAAAGTGGAGCAGGTTCTAATGCACTGACAGCATCTGATCTGAGGGTGAAATGCAATGTGGCCAGTCTGAACCCAATGGAGAAGATTTCTAGGAAGGATAATGTGTCCCTATCCTTTCCCTGTTTGTCCAGACCCTTTCTCTGCCGCTACTTTCCCTGACAGATAGGTAATCTGCCCCTACACTATCCACTCGCAAAATGCGCACCAAGCCTGGGAGCCTGGGTCTTAAATAGGCTCTGCCTAGCCCAAGATGGCCACCAAAGTCACATGGGACAGCTCCATCCAAATGGATTGCTGCACAGTGACCCAGGAGTAAGTTCCTCCTAAATTTGTCTCCCTCTGCAGCACCACTGTGGTTGGGCGCCACCTGCAGTGGAGGAAAGAGGCTGCACCTGCCTACAGGCATGTAGTAGAACACTTCACTGTGGGTTGGGAATGGAGGAGAGTCAACTGAACCTTAATTCTCCTATATAGCTTTGTGCCTACAAATTCTCTCAGGATGATTAAATTCACTTGTTAAAGTAGCAGCTTTGTAGGCTCTTAATTAGGTGGTTGTAAAGTATGGTACATACTGTAGAACGGGTGGCATCAGCTCCAGAGACCTTGGGACAGCAGGAACTGTTACAGTAGTTCTACAATGATATGCTGCTAATCTGTTTTCAGTGCACTGTGTGTTTTCTTGTATGGGACCTCAGACCGTCACTAGTTATACAACTGGGAGGGGAAAGGAAATGCTTTACTGGGACTTGTAGAGGACTACTTCAAAAGGCCTTCACAGTAATCAAACACAAGATGCCCTGTCAGTGCTAGAGAGGCAGATCTATTACAGGTAAGGATGGACCACTTTATGCTGTTGAACAATCATGACAGAAATATGATATGACACATGTGGTGCGAGAAAAAATGTCCATCCTGGTTCTTCAAGGTCTCTCATAACTGCAGTCAAAAATTAACAACAATTTGACCAAGCTAATGAATAGACAATTGAAGGAGAATCTTAAAAGAAAAAATTTCAACTGAAATTCTACTAGTACATGACCGGCTTTATGTCACTCTCCATGCATTGGTGGTCAGTGGAGCTTTCCCCCTCTTCAAAAATTGGTGGTCAGCGGGAGACGGGAAAGTAATGTAAACCTATACATGCAGATTGGTGTCCCATTTCAGTGTCTAAACCATGAGGTCACCACTGGAACTGTGGGCATACTATTGAGGAGAAAATCGCTCCACCTGTCAATGTGTGGATAGATGTTGAACCAAGTGCTTGAGCAAGCATTTCAGCTCTTGGCTCTGGGATATGGCCAAGATTCTGCCATGGAGCGAGGAGCCAGACACACAAGGAGGTGCAATTAATGGTAGGTTTATTAATATAAAAATAAGTCAAGAGTCTATGCGAGTCCAACAGCGGAAATTGTAGCCAAAGCCGGGGTCAAGAGCCAGGAAGAATCGTCGCCAGAGTCGGGATCAGGAGCCAGGAAGAATCGTCGCCAGAGCCGGGATCAGGAGCCAGGAAGAATCGTCGCCAGAGCTGGGATCAGGAGCCAGGGAGAATGGTCGCCAGAGCTGGGATCAGGAGTCAGGGAGAATGGTCACCAGAGCCGGGGTCAGAAGCCAAGAGGAGTCTTAGCCAAAGCCGAGTCGGTATCCAGGAAAGCAATGAGTAGCTAAACAGGAGCTTGCTGTTGTGCAACAGACAGGACACGAATGCAATGGACAGCCACAAACAGCAGACTTATATGTGATAAGCCGCCACCTCATGGGGGAGGAGCCGCAGAGGGCTGAAAGCATAAAGGATCCCACAATGCTTTGCAGACACCTAAAATGGATGCCAACACATGGAGCAGCACAAGGTCTGAGGAAAGGTAGGACCTTGACAGATTCATGGGACACCAGTTTTGTTTATATCCTGGGAAACTCCCACAAAATCAGTGATAGTTAGGGAGTATCATTCTCTGCTTTCAGAGAAGAAAAAAAATATTCTGTGATTTCAGAGCCTCTTTGAGCATTAGTTTTTCTATATTGCATGCAGCTACAAAGGTCTTTAACAACCTGTTTGAAAGCTTTTTTACTGATTGTTAAAATACGTAAATACCTTACTGTCCATAGTCTAGGCACAGGTTCACTTTAAGAGTAATTATTCAAAACTAGAACACTTTTATATATCTTTTCTCTTCTCTCTCCTAAGGTATATGCTACATTTGAGAGTCTAATGAGGTATCTTCCGGGACCCCATCAGAAAGCGTTTGCAGACTGCGAGCATGTGAAAGATTTCATTACTGAGGAAATTAACTCCCACAGGAGATCCCTGGACCCAGCGTCACCTCGAGACTTCATAGACTGTTTCCTCATTCAGGCCAACAAGGTAATAGGCTGTATACATGAGGCTGTAATTTAAAGGGTCAGTAAACACCCTAATGCTGAGGGCCCATTTAGACTTTTCCTTTGTGGTAATGTGCAGTAAAATGTGCACAATGTGCTGTGCCATTTATTTAGAATGGAACCCCAACATACAACTAAAGTAACTGGTACATAGTCCGTGAGGTACATCATATGTAAACTGTAGGTTTCCCTGCTTAAATGGCATTGTTGTTATTTTCAAAATGAAAATAAGTGGAACTTTATTCATATAATGTAAAAGGTATGGGTTCAGCGAGCGCTTAAGTGTGGAAAGCGGCTAGAACACTAAAAAAGAAGACCATATAATCTTCTAAAATCATATAAAAATTTGGGCTTGTTTGATTCATATGCGCATTTATATTGCGCCTCTGGTGAGTGTGCATTCTTATTATTTTCCTGCACATCACCAGATTACCGAGATTGAGGAGTCACCCACTGGAATATTGATACCAGCATCACTCTTTGCACCCATTTGAATGTTGATTGGAATATTGATTGATTTTAGTGTATAGGTGTTGGGACATACACTACTTGTTCCTTTTAGATTACTACACGGATTTTATTTTCATGATATATTATACATGCGTTTATATTTATCTTTCTGCGTTTATTTTTCTATTGTATATTCTAACTTCAGGCATCTGCATCATATCTCATTACAATTTTTTATAGCGCTGCACTACTTGTTTTTTATAGAACTTTATTCATATGTTTAGTTCAGGACAAATGGGAAGAGTTGGAACCTCAACCGGGCTTTTATCCCTGTTTGGTCTGTCTGCCCTCACTTTTTGTATGGTCATGAAAAAAGATAACAGATGATTCAATCCTTTCAAAACTCTATCCAAATCTTTAAAATAAATTTATGGAATGCAATTCAACTTTGGTAACCTCTTCAAAAACCAAACCCAGACATAACACTATTGCTACTCACTCTTTAAATTTGGTTATTACAAATCTTTTGGTAGATGTTAAACATGCATTACCTGATTCTTGACTAAAAGGAATTGCAGAAAAAACAAGAATAGAAAGCTGGCTACAAAAATCTTAGGAGTTTGTGTTGTTGAATTTTATGTGGGTGTGATTCTCTAATGGTTGGATTCTTTTCCTATCCAACCCTGGCTGGGTTTTGTCAATTTTCTTGCCCTGAATTACTGACTCCCAACTTAAATCTTGCTCTGTGTTTGATGCACAGGTTGTGGGTCTTCTAGTATTGGTCCTTGGCTCAACTGCTGTTTTTCAGTTTACCTCCTTGGACCCATTTATGCCTGTCTGGTTTTGACCCCCAACTTGAGTTCTGATTATCTTGTTTTTGACCCACTAGCACTTTTATGATCATTCTAGCCTGACCTCAAAAGTTTTTTTGTAATTTTTATAAGTCTCATCTAGTACTTATTACCTATGGCCATTTTACTCAAGTTCCATAATCCTCTGCAAAATGTTCTGGGGGAACACAAACTACACACAGAAAGCATACTATAAAGGTGGATGCCAGAGGTAAAGAAAAGTGCTGCAGCGATCCATTCATCCTTTTGTTGCCCACGTAACTCCAATCCATGCCATTCCCACCCAATTACAAAGGTATTTGGACAATAACCTTTAAAACCCAAAGCTCATGTGACCCTCTTTAGCATCTCTCCTGGAAGGGAGGATTTATGCCATTGCCCCTCAGTGTGATGTCAAGTCTTTGCTGGAGTTTAAAAAAAAACTGTGAGGACCTCAATGTTGGGCAGCTAGTGGGAAGTGACCACATCCCCAGGCAATAACATGGACACCTGACGAAAGACATTACAACTTTGTAGTTCAGAAGAAAAGGGGACTTGGGTCCAAGCATGTGACATGACCTTAGGTTGTTGAAGTAAGGTAAGATTGTTTTTAGTTTTTATTTTAATTACTGGAGCAATTAGCTAATAAGGGATAAACATACAGTAAGTGGGGTGGTTCACTGTCCAAATTATTGCTTTAGGATAATTTTATGTTAAAGCCCAACTGAGATCTCACACACTCATATTCCTTTATAGTCCTGTATTCCCTGCAAGTCACAATTTGTGACTGATTTTTGCCTGGAAATGTGTAAAAAATATCTTTTTTGACCATTCTTCTTCCCATCTTCCTCTTCCTGTGTTCTGAACTGAGTAACAGCCAGCCAGTTCCCTGTCCAAATTATTGCTTTAGGATAGTTTTATGTTAAAGCCCAACTGAGATCTCACACAATCATATTCCTTTATAGTCCTGTATTCCCGTCAAGTCACAATTTGTGACTGATTTTTGCCTGGAAATGTGTTAAAATACCTTTTTTGACCATTCTTTTTCCTGTCTTCCTCTTCCTGTGTTCTGTACTGACAGAGCTGAGTAACAACCACACCCCTCAGTACATTTATCATCACACATACTTGTATTGCATAAGAAGAAAGAGGACATGACTGACCAGATCTGATTATTATTAATATGACAGGTACTCATACAGAACCATCAATTTACACAATGCTTTACATATACTGTATATTGTAAGTGCACAGTCTGTTTTATGTTCTATATGTGAAACATTGAATAAGGTCAAAATGTTCTTTGCTGTTAACATGGATTCTAATCAAAGTTGTTTTTGCTGAAGTTAGTAATAACAATTATTTTGTGCAATAATATATAACCATTAACTTTAGTCCAACTCCTAAACACTATCTATTATATCTGGTCATAAAGTAATATTCAGGGCATAGTTACAAATCATGTGGCCTCATAGCGAACCTTTGATGGAGCCTGCCCATGATTTGGCATACCCCACCCAAACCCTTCTGGTAAAATTTTGGTGGCAGCTGTGATTTGTCATTTTTAAGAGGAATCTCCTTTATCACTAGGGGAGAAAGGATTTATATTGAACTCTTTTTCGTGTGCCCCTGCCATTCCCCCCTTTTACATGGCAGGTGCCCATTTTCATTAGTATTATGATAACCAACTTTTTTTTCTGTCTGGGCCCCTACCACCACTCAGGCCCTACTGCAACTGCATAGGACCTTATAGAGGTAGATCTGCCACTGGAAATTAAAGCTAACCACTAAGGCCTCACTCACATTGCAATGTATGCAGGGAAGCATTCAGTGAAGTGTGTTTTTTTTGGGCAGAGGCTGAATTGTACTGGCAGGTAAGACACCCAAGAAAACAATAGACAGCCACAGCTCGAATGCTGTGAAAGAGCCTTTGGATCAGGTAGTGCAGACTGCTTCCAGCATCTGGTACTCCAGTGCCATTAAGAATTGAACTGTAGGCCACTAGTTGGACAATCCTACTTCACAGTTACGCCTAGTACTCACGATCAAAAAATCATATGACAAAAATCGCTTTTGGAGCGATCGCACAATAATCTGATCGTTAGTATGCAACTTTCGAGAGCTGATCATGACAGTTCAAACAACAATATCTGATGGGACAAGCGCAAAAAAATGTTCTTGTATGATACTAGAATGAACGATTTTCATTTAATCAGTACAGAATTCATCTTCAAAAAATCGAGTAACCAAGACCACACATGCTCTGAAACAAAAGAATACATAACAATACAATACACTAAATCATTGCAGGAAGTTGTATTCTGTCTTAGAGGAATTTTAGTAACTTCAGTAACGGGTTAATTTTTGCTATGATATTAGCATGCAAAAAACACCCCGGACAATCGTTTGTTTGATGTCATCATGTGTACAAGGCTTAAGTCCAACTATAGATATGAGATGCCTGTTAAGGGATGCAACTATTGCACTGTCATTGCAAATCATTTGTGCCCACAGATACTTCTGGTAGGTAAGATGTCCAAGAAGACAACAGGCGGCCACAGTTTGAATACTGTAAAAGAGCCTTTGGATAAGGCAGTGCAGAGTGCTGCCATCTCTTTGCACCCTGCTCAATACCTCTATGCATTGAACTGTTGGCCACCAGTTGGACAGCCTTGCTCTAGAGTTAGTCCAACCATAGATATGAGATGGCTGTTAGAAAAGCATACTATCACACCATCATTGCAAATCATGTGCGCTCACAGGTACTTCTGGTAGGTAAGAAATCCAAGAAGACAATAGGCGGCCTCAGCCTGAAAGCTTTAAAACAGCCTGTTGATCTGCACTGAGATTGTCTGCACTGTGTTCTGAAACAGGAGAAGAGGTGGAGTTCAGGAGGGACCGATGCAAATCCTTCCATTTCTGTCATATGAAAGGCAATGATATGGCAGGATTGAATACAGCTCAGAATTATTAGACAGAACTTAGGCACCTGTTAAGAAGGGTCATATTTATACCCCCAGGTAGAATAGAAGACTGCATCTACAATATTTTCTTTATTTATGATTTCTAATTCATAAAATATTATCAAAGGCCATACATATTGTAATAAAACGTGGAAAAAAACATGGAAGTTCAATTCTTAGGGGTCACTCTTCACCTGTGTCCTGCCGATGTGCTGCATCACCTTCTTACACCAGCTTGTGTGGAAGTGAAACACTGCAACAGACATGGTCACACAATGGTTTATTGGAAGTAGACCCAGACTTGACATAGGGAACACCGGCATTCCAGAGGCCGGGGGCCCGCCTGGATAGGAGAGATGACCGAGAGACACATAGAGGACTGTGCAGTTCTGCATGCGGTAGGCTCCTGTATGCTCCCCCCCATGGAAACCTCCCCACCCTCATCTCCTTCAGCGCCCCTCTCCCTCATCTCCTCCAGAGCCCCCCTCCCTCATCTCCTCAGTGGCCCCCTCCCTCATCTCCTCCAGCGGCCCCCCTCCCTCATCTCCTCTAGCAGCCCCCCCTCTCATCTCTTCCAGTGGCCCCCCCTCCATCATCTCCAGCGCCCCCCCTCTCTCATCTCCTCCAGCGGCCCCCCTCCCTCATTTCCTCTAGCGGCCCCCTCCCTCATCTCCTCCAGTGGCCCCCTCCCTCATCCCCTCCAGCGGCCCTGTCTCCCGTTTCTCTAGTTTTTCTTTCTTTCTTTTTTTTTTTTTCCTTCTTTCTCGCTTTCTTCTTTCACTCTCTTTTTTTTTCTTTTTCTTTCTCTTTTTCTTTCTTTCTCTCTTCTTACTCTGGGTCCCCGGGCTTTGGGCTGCTCAATCCAAACTGCCCGGGACTATTTTTTGTCCCAGTCCAGGCCTGCTTGGAAGTCAGTTCACCTGAGGAAACAATAACAACCTCCTTTAATGGTGTCAGTGGTAACAATAATAGCCTTGTTTTCACTGGTGTGAGTGATATCAGTTCCAGCAATATTAACCCCTCTTTACTGGTGTCAATGCCAGTAATAATAACTTCATCTTGAGGGGTATCAGTAGCAACAATAATAACCCCCCCTTAACTAGTATGATGGTTACAATTAAACAATAAATTCTCCCCCCATTAATTGGTGTCAGTGGATACAATAAAACCCCCTTTATTGGTATCATTAGGTAAAATAATAGCCCCCAGCATTTGTATTCATTGGTTACATTTCTGATTGCACCACCCTGCATTGCTTCCTCCCTTGACATCGTTCTGAAACTATAGTTTCCCTGTTGAGCAGTAGCTCATTCTATCTTATTAGCAATGCAGAGTGCTGGAGAGCGTTACAGCTTTTATCACCACTCTGTCACTTTGCATTGAACTGTGGGCCACCAGTAGGACAGTCCTGTTCTAGACTTAGGCTAACAATAGACATTAGAAAGCTGTTAGAAGATCTTACTTTCACACCATTCTTGCAGATCATGTAGAAAAACATTATTCCACCATTATAAAAAATTGCCAGTAATAAAAATACCTCAGTAAAATGTACTATATCTTCCATAAAGGCTTCTCCTGAAAGATTAGGATGGGTATGAGTGCTGCCCTGGAAGACTTCCTTGTAAATGAGTTACCAGGTACCTAACTCTTTTTCCTCACATTGTCTTCCAGTGCAGCATCTGAGAGGATTAGCAAGGAATACTTAGGGGGATCCACCACCTGGATCACCTTCCTACTGAAGGACAGATCTTGGCTGGACAGCTGTTCTATGTGGACTTAGGCTAACAATAAGTGCCTTAGGAAGGTCTTAAAGCTTTACCATGTTGCTCTTCTGCAGATCTGCGCCAACAAGTCCCCTGCTTTCTCTGCATAAGATGAAGCCCATGCTCTGGTAGAAAGAACTGTTACTCCTCTAGGATGTGTCTGGTTTTGTGTTTGGTAGGTGAAGGCTATTGCTGATTTATCCACCTGGTGATTATACTTTTGGAGGCTTGCTGCCCCCTTTTTGGCCTCACAAAGAGGGCTGAAGTTTCCTCCAATCCTTAGTTCTTTCCACATAAGCTATAAGAGTTCTAACATATAATTTAGAATAGCTTTCACTCGTTCTGTTATTAGGGCTGCCTGAAAATCATGGGATAATGATGTCCTGGGACCTGTGGAAAGCAGAAGTAACCTTTGGTGGAAACACGGGATCTGGGGACAGGACTATTCACTGTGCAATATGTCTCAAGGATGGAGAGTGCTTGGATCTTACTTACTCTGCTGGCTGAAATTAAGTTGACTAGCAATACTGTGTTTGTCGTAAGAATAGTATCTGAGCAATCTCACAAGGGATTGAATGGAGGTTTAAGAACTGGCAGCAAAACCATGAATAGGATCCATGAAGGAAAACTTTTTGGAGAGCAGGGGTCTTACTTTGTATACTGAACAAAAAAAGACTTTGATTAAGGATCTTCTGCCAATTTTATGTCCAAAAGGAAGATGATGCTGAAATCTGCACTTTTAAAGTATTGTGCGATAAATGCTTGTCAGCACAGTCTTGAAGGAATTCTAAAATTGTAGGGACAATAGGTCTCTCCTTGTGGCCTTGTTCCCTATACCATGACTCTAATTTTTCTCTAAACGTTTTGTAAATAGCTTGGGTGAATTTTTTCCTTGTTGCCAGGATAGTATTGATAACTCTTTTTTCGCAGCAGGATCACCCTCTTGGTAGCCAAGCAAAAAGATTTAAGAAACTGATGTAAAGATGAAAAGCCAATTTCTAGGTTAGCAAGTCTGGTTTAAATGGCAGTTGTAGGTGCAGTTGGATACTCATATTCTTCAGGTGGCTGAACCATGCAATTTGTGGCCAATGTGGTGCTATTAATATTACTATGGTCTTTTTTTGTTTGATCTTCTAAATTAATATTGGAATCATGTTTGTTTAAGGGGATTGCATAACCTTGAGGGAATCACCATTTCCATGCAAAGGCATCCACTCCCATTAACAGATCACCCAAAGTGAAGGAAAAGAACACTAAGACCTTAGTATTGGCATTTGATATAAATAGGACCATCGACAGGGACCTCCTCCTGTTTGCTGATGTTTTCCCAGCTGAAAAATGGAAAGGCATGTGGCTGGCTGTGGGATAGGGAACTGCTGTAGGCCCTGCTGGAGACTCTAGGTTCTGGACCAAAGCACGCAGGGAAAAAACATGGTGGACATTCTTTCTTTGACAGATGACATACGCCCTTTAAGAACCCCTTTTGACTCTTTAGCTACCAATTTGTTAATACATTTTTGGCAAACTGGCTTGGTCCAACTTGCTGCAAAAGGCACATTGTCTTGAGGCAGAGTGCTGCCCTTCTTGCCTTTTTTCTTTTTTTGGGCCTTTGTTTGTAAAGAGAGGACAAAGGAATCAGGAGTAAGGCAAGGGATGATGCCAGGCCCACTAAACAAAAAAAAACCATATTGTTCAGTGGATAGGAGAAAAGGCAGAGAATGTCTACAACCTTACTTTAGCTTATAATGGGGGTATCATGACTCACAAGACCTTTAGGGCAGGAAGGTGGTGTGGCATCTGACATGGTCAGCTTGCAGGTGGCTTGCACCAATAAATATAACATACCACAGCTCCACGCTTTCTCCTGTTGCTCTCCCAGGTGCCAGCATGCATTTTGGCTCTTTTCCAGGTTCCTGAGTTTAAAAAAAGAGCTTTTCCGGAGAGTGGAAGAACCAGGTGATTATCTCCGCTAGACCCTGTCCCTAGCAAGCCTAGCCTACAGTGAAATCTGCAAAGACAGCCTGGCAGGGAGGTACCTGCAACAGTATGGTAGCCTGTATAAATAACAAATGAGTATCAATCCTGTTGGTCCAAAGGAAACACAAGAACTGAGGCTCTGAGGTATGTGTCAACCTTTTTATAGTGATAGATGATGGGTTTCCTGTTCTAGGTGGGAGGAGCCCTTTCTCTCAGCTGCTGTCCTGGAAGACAACTTGAGAAATCCATTCGGGTTCAGCTATAGGTAGTCTAAGACTGATTGCTCAGGTCAGATACAGGCCATAAGAAGACTAATAACTGTAGCCTCAAAAATAGGTAGTCTTGGTTTTCAAGTTAAAGCCACCTTCTATCATGTGGGACCCTGACATGAAACCACTGGCCTTCATAACTTTTCAGAACTATTTTTTTTACCTGGATTCATTAAGCCTAATGCTGCATGTCTCTATTTGAAACCCAGGGTTGCTGGTCTCCCCACTTCATGATTCTATGGCAGGGGGACGTGGTGGAACTGCTCACTACTGCTGGAAAAGTGTCCATAAGAAAGCCTCACACAGACTGAAACCCACAATTATTCTTCTAAATTACAGGAAAAAGATGTGAAGAACAGTGAATTCTGCCAAGAAAATCTGTTGATTTCTGTATTTGAACTTTTTTTTGCCGGAACCGAGACCACATCCAGCACCCTACAGTTTAGTTTGCTGGTGATGATAAAATACCAGAAGATCCAAGGTAAGAAGGTCAATGAAGAACAATCATGGGGTGCTCAGATCTGTAGACTGACAAAGCACCAGTGTTGTTCTAAATGTTAGTCCATCTCTCTTGTGCCACCAAACCTTCAAGGGATTGTTTACACTTGTTGCATTGCCTTCTGAAAGTGATTGTCATTTAAATGAGTTGCTGGCCACTGAATGCAACATAGAGTATAATGATTTTCATGTGAACACCAAGCACAGCGTCGCAGTTACTGCATGTGTGCCAACCCACTATGGTCCCCATGATAGCTGACATTGGACAGAAAAGGGTGGCAAATCTATGGTTCACTGCCATGTTTACTGCCCTCTGGCTGCAAGTGTAAATGAGACCTAAAACTGATGTTTACATGTGTTATAATACACATAGAGTCTTTGACATAAAAATAAACATTTAATATACATGAAAAAAACTATGAGTTAGCTAAGTAGCCAGAACTGCAATATGTGTTGCTTTTTCCAGACACAGTATCACAGTTTTCTGAAACTTTCAATGGAGCAATACAGAGATACAGAGTCCCCCCACACATATATAGCAGTGTCCCCCCACATATATATACATATATATATATATATATATATATATATACCGTGCTCAGCATAAATGAGTACACCCCTTTTGAAAAGTGAGATTTTAATCAATATCTCAATGAACACAAGCACAATTTCCACAATTTATCAAAACTGAGTTATATAGATCATTTGTTTAGCTCATTACATGAAAGTAAGGTTAATAAAATATCGTAGATTGAAAAATTATTATGTTTTACTCAGATTAGTTGATGCAAACATGAATACACCCCACAACAAAAATGACTCCATCTAGTATTTTGTATGACCGCCATGATTTGTAAGGACAGGACCAAGTCTTCTAAGCATGGAATGAACAAGTTGGCGACATATTGCAATATCAATCTTTTTCCATTCTTCAAGAACTACCGCTTTTAGGGCCTGGATGCTGGATGGTGCTCAACTTGTCTCTTCAGAATTCCCATAGGTGTTCGATTGGGTCCAGATCAGGAGACATACTTGGCCACTGAATCCCTTTCACCCTGTTCTTCTTCAGAAATGCAACAGTGGCCTTAGATGTGTGTTTTGGATCATTCTCATGGTGGGAAAGTGCACAATGACCAAGGGCACGGAGTGAGGGTACCATCTTCTCTTCCAATATAGTACAGTACAGTACATCTGTGAATTCATGATACCATCAATGAAATGCAGCTCCCCAACACCAGCAGTGTTCATGCAGCCCCACAGAAGGACACTACCACCACCATGTTTCACTGTAGGCACCATGCAATTTTCTTTGTACTACTCACCTTTGCAACACCATACAGTTTTGAAGCTATCAGTTCCCAAAACATTTATCTTGGTCTCATCACTCCAGAGTACAGAGTCCCAGTAGTCATCTTCTTTTTCAGCATGGAACCTGGCAAATTCTAGGCATAGTTTTTTTTTGTGCATGGGCTTTAGGAGAGGCTTCCTTCATGGACTACACCCATGCATGCCATTCCTCTGCAGTGTACACCGTATTGTGTCATGGGAAACAATCACCCCGGTTTGGCTTTCTACTTCTGTAGCTAACTGCAGTGAACTTGATTGGTGATTTTCCACAACCCTTCTCATCAAAAGATGCTCCTGTCGAGGTGTTAACCTCTGTGGATGGCCTGCACGTCTCTGTGAGATGGTTGCAGTTCCATTTTTGTTACATTTTTGTATCACTTTTGCTACAGTATTCGGACTGATGAGTAAAGCTTTGCTGATCTTCTTGTAGACTTCACCTTTCTTGTGTAAAGCAATAATTTTCTTTCTCAGACACATTTCTCTTCCCTGTAGTGCCATTGCTGACAGCATGAAATGGGAAGAGGTTTTCTTTGTTAAGTAACGCCCTTTTATAATCAACTGTTTGCTGGACACATGTTTAATGGATAATTGGACTTACCTGTCATTGAATTCTTGTTAATTAGGATTTTTTTGTCTAAAATTTAGCTTTGCTCCTAAGACTTTCATTGGGGTGCATTCATTTTGGCAACTTGGTCTTGAATGAATTTGTTAGGAAAAATACTCTTTTGTGTGTGCTAATTAACAACTCTTGTTTGTAATCAATGGCCCTCATTTGTGGGAATGTAGTATAGTGTCCCATAGAAAATGTTGATTCTGAAAAGAAAGTAAAGGTTTTCTGAAAAATCCGTTGGGTTGTACTCATTTATGCTGATCACACTATATATATATATATATATATATATATATATATATATATATATATAATGTTCACTTACTGACATATGAGCTTTTAGTTCAATAATACTCTGATTCCAGGTTGGAATGATGGGGCAGCCCTAGAGGGGTGAGTCTGTGTCAACCTGGGATCAAAGGATGTGGGGTAAAGGACATTGGTCTGGAAGGTAAAGAACATCTAGTGGCCCAAAAAAAATTACTGTGAGGCTCAAGATTAAATGATAAGTTCACCTATCATATTATGTTACACCTACAGTATATTCAGGGTGTAACATTTAACATGTTACGTTCAGACCGGCTCCTGCTCCCTCTAATCCCCGCTTTGACAGCTAGCGGGTGATGATCTCCCTTCTTTTTAGCTGTCAAATTTTTAAAGAACGTGGCTGTGTGGCGCTCCACCCACACAGCCATATCTCTCTTCCACAGTCATTTGTGAATGAACAACTACAAGTCCCAACAGCCTTTACGGCTGTCAGCTTGTAGTCCTCAATTAACCACCACGGCGCTGTGAAGTTAATTCATTCTTCCCATCCCGTACGAGCAAGCAGATATTCTAACAGATCTACAGGACACCTGTATGGCACCAGAGATCTGCTGATCGCTGGTGCAAAGGGTTCCAGGCTCCTGCAGACAAAAAAAATAAATGCACTTTTTTTTAACCTGCAAAAAAATGTGCATTTATTTATTTTTTTCTAAAAGGTGAACTTATCCTTTAATGTTGACTTCTGTGGCAAAGCTTTTTATTTTTTGGTAGAAATCAATTTTTTTGGTTTGAAATTATAACAACTTAAAAAGAATTTGCCACTTTGCCCATCCAAGGTAAGGGGACAGGTTCTCTTAAAGGTACAAAACTTTACCCAATGATAATTACCTTTTCTATGTTCCAACAGAAGTTTGGAAACATGATTTTTGGAAGTGTACATTTTTTTAAATATATTCACTTGAAGAGTCTTCCAGGTGCCAGGGCAGTGAAGGCTATGAGTGGGCTGTTTGAATCTGCACAACCCCTATCTGTGTGTATATGGGGGAGGTGATATCAGCATGTAGAAGATTTTGCCTAGAAAATCTGGATCCTTTTAAAGAATTCTCTGGATCCTTTTAAAAAAATTCAGCCTGTTCCTGTTTGCTGCCCTTTTCTGAAAGATATGAAAAGGGAAATTGATTTCAGCCAAACCAAGGCAGTAGGCCTGTAAGTAGGTTCTTACTGAGTGTTGGTCGTGTTCAGTATTTCTTGGGTTGAGTTTATTTTCTTCTGTATTAATTGTACTACTTAGTTAATGTGGCCCAGCAGAAAGTCAGACTTTCCCAAGTTCTTCTGCAGAGCCTTACCCTCTGCTGGAGAAACATATAAAAGAGATCAGCTTGGGTGTGAGAGAGAGAGCTCCAGGATAGGAACTAGAGAGGAGATGCTGCTACTATGTTAGTAAACATATCCATCATGTGCTCCTTGGGGAGAACATTATGGACTTTAACCCCTTCCTTCAACCATACACAGATATGTGGCCTCACTGAAGTGGGCCTTTATCCATGAGGTCCATATCTGTGTACCAGGGGCGGACTGACCATTTGGAAACTCAGGCAATGCCCAAGGGCCCGGGGTCATTAGGGGGCCCCATGAGATGCCCCTGGTACCTTTCTCATAGGCTTTTTTGAGTTTGGGCAAGGACACAGGGGCCCCATGATCCCCTATTGCCAGGGGGCCCCATGAGTTGTCAGTCCGCCCCTGCTGTGTACCCATAGCTCACAACTGTCCCTGATTTCGAGGGACTCTCCAAGTCCCTCTGTCCCTCCTTCCTCCTCATTTGTCCCTCATTTTGGTCTGATCTATATAACTCTATATGAAATGCACTATTTATCTTTCAAAAAGTGTTTTACAGTGCTAAAACGTTCATATAATTTCTAAACTGCTGCATTTGTATATTTCAAAACTCAATGTAAAGGAATAGTAGTGGTAAAACAAACCACTTGTGGGTTTACCCAATCATTTTTGTTTGTATAATTCTTTTTTTAAGGGGGTGTGGTTTATGTCTACATATTTTTGCTAATAGGTGTCCCTCATTCTTATCTCAGAAAGTTGGGAGGTATAGTGTACCTGTCAGAGACAGAGACCGAGCTCCCGTTAGGGGCCCCACGTGTTGTACTATTGGGACACGGGATTCCCGGTTCAGGGTCACCTGATTGCTGTGACAGCCTTTGATTGGCTATCGCAGTGATCAGTCACTGTGCAGCCTGCCCATGTGTTTACTCGCTCTTCTGAATGGAGAGAAAGATACATTGTATCTTTCTCTCCCTGCAGGAGAGGAAGATGTAAACAAACAGAATTTTGTAATAAAGAAAAAAAATAAAGAAATAAAATAGCTAGCTCAAGATTAGCAGTCATTACCAGGACTGGTGTTAGGGTCAAGCTAGGGGGCAAAAGTCAAATTTTTGTTTTTTAAAGTATGTTTTAAAGTATTTGTAAAGGCTCAATGTTTTTTACCTTCATACATTCTATGCAGAAAGGTAAAAAAACCTTCTGTGTGCAGCATCCCCTTCAACCTTATACTTACCTGTGCCTTGTCTCAAACCATCAATGTGCATGAGAGCAACGGCTCTCTGGAGTCTCCCTCTCCTCACTGCCTGAAAAAGCAGCAGGAGTCATTGGCTACTGTCAATCACAGCCAGTGAACCAAAGAGGAGAGCCGGGGGCAAAGCCGAGCCAAGCTCTCTGTCTGAATGGACAGACAGAGCAGCAGCTCGGGAGCCCCCATAGCTGCTTGCTTTGGGGTTACTAGGCAGGAGGAAAGGGCCTGGAGTGCTGGGGGGGGGGGGGGCGAGAAGAGGAGAATCCACTAGAGAAATGCAAAACAACTGCATAGAGCAGGTAAGTATGAGATGTCTATTATTTAAAAAATAAATCAGCCTTTATTATCACTTTGTGTCAGTTAGTGTCAGTTTCAGTGTGTTTTAGGTAAGCTAGAAAAAAACATTGTTTCTGGACCCTACTACAGGTACAAACAACAACTAACATACACATATGTGGTATCACTGCAATCGTCAGGAACAGGAGAATTTATTTAGGGTTGCTCTTTGGTAGTAAATTATGGTAAAAGCAAGAAATATACACCTAAATTAAAAAAATGTATAAAAAAAAGTTTTTTTTTTTACTATTTGGGCCAGTTTTTCCTGTGATAAAAAAAAATCAGGAGGTATCATTACCATCTACTGTCAAATGAAAGCTCCTGAAAAATAAAACAAGGTTAACCCACCTGTAAACACAAAGTAGTTGTGATGATATGTTCAGATCTACTAACACATGCCAAAGTTGAAAAATTGTGTTCAGGCATTAACATTTGTTTTACCATCAGTCACTAAGGGGTTAAAGGACTTTCTGCATTACTTTGTGGGCATTATTATGGGGCAAGAGAAGGAACCCCAGTTAGTGAGATTTGTTTGAGACTCTAAACCATGCTGAAGGAACGTCCCATGCTGTGAGCTGTAATGTATAAAGCTTTTACCAGTAAAGGAAGAGTTGTGCTGTTAAATAATCCTGCCTGGTCTGAAGTTACTAAAAATGGTGCATGTAAGATATATGAAAGAACGGGGCTTGCAACAGGGGGTTAGAGATGTTAGAAAAGATACAGTAAATACTGTAAGTCTCACGAGCAAGATACTGTCCAGAGGAGGCTATACTGCCTTTGCTAATGACTACCGTATATATGTGTCACTTGCTAAAGCAGCCAACCAGACAGGAGACGGGTGACACGGCAAGGGGATGTACACTCTTGTAGTGAAGTTATGTTATGCTTCGCCACCTTACCAGTGACCAGTTCCCCACATACTGGGACTGGATCTGTGGCCAAGAACACCAAGTGACCTAGCCTGGGAGTCATGAGAGTTATGAAAAGGGGCTCCTGGAGGAGAACAAGCATGACGTTAAGTAGAAGTGCATTTTCTGTGTCCAACAGTAACATTTGGGAAATGTTACTGAAAGTGAGGTGATGGCACTGCTGTGTTGATGGAGACAGGTACATGCTCCATGGTACCGGCTCAGAAATGCTGCACACCTGGGGAAGTGGTGTTCTCTAACAGAAGTGTGTCTGAAGTGCGATGGGAATTGTTTGGAGAAATCTTACTTCTAAGATATGCTTACATTTAAACATTCACCAGCACAATGTCCAATGCCAGAAATACATGAATAAACCTTTCCCCGGTCCTGGCTTGCAATCTCAGTTGTCACTAACACCTGGGGTTCCCACTAACAATCAGGAACCGATCAGAGTGTTTCTAAGGCATTGCATGTCAACACGGACATTTGGATTATATACAGGCTGGGGGCTGAACGAATAAAAATGAAAACCTTCAACCTGCAGATAAACAGTCAGGTTAATATTATTATTAATAATGATAAAACAGTGTATCAAAATAAAAACCTTTTTATGTCCTCAAAAGGATATATCACTTAGGTATGCAGCTTAGTCATCTTTTGTTGAAAAAAACATGCTTTAATTATGTATTAAATATATAAAAACAAATATTTTTATTGGGGTACATTCTTCCCCAATATGCAGTGCATAAATATAAAACAATATAACAATATATAACAATACAGTTCAAATTACACGATAAACTACATTCGCTCATGTTGTGTGGGGTGAATGAATAAAATAACGTGATGGTTCAGGAAACTTCACCCCACATAAATATGTGGTAGAAGGAGTGGTATGTAGAATAAATTGGGAACAGGAACCCCTGAAGTATCATTCCATATATATAAATGAATAAAATAAGGTATTTGGGAGTGGGATTTTGAATATACCTCCAAGGTTCACAAACAGGTTGTTTCTTGCACACACAAACAAGAATATGCATAGAACTACAACAATTTATTAAATTGACATATAAAAAGAAACATCTATAGGTACAAACATCTTTCTTGAATATAAAAAAATTCATCCAATGACATAGGTCTGCGTGTTTCGTGGGTGTCCCCGCTTCTATATGTTTGTGAACCTTGAAGGTATATTCAAAGTCCCACTCCCAAATACCTTATTTTATTCATTTATCACCATCCATGCCAAATCTTTGTGCCTTATGGTGAGTCTCTTTGAAGAAACAAACCTCCAGACCACCCTGCAAGTGGCTAGAGGTAGGCCCTGAATAGACTCCACAATGCTCTTATCTCTTGTCAACTTGTAGACAGTCTTTGGTTTTCTTCAATTCATAATTACAGTAGCTCCTTCTAGCCCCTTCTCCCTGATAAACTTAAAAGTGTCCAAGTAATACCAGGGAGTGTCCCCCCCCCCCCCCCCCCAGTTGTAGGGAATTGAGCTATCCCATTTGTCTCAACCTGCGATCTTCCAAAGGCAGGAGAAAAAAAATGGGACATGAAGTTGACCCCAGAGATCATTGGCTGATCAATAAAATTCCTTTGGATGAAGTTGGAAGCAAAGAACACCCCCCCAACTGATGTGAAGATGTTGGGCACACCCTTACAGCATTTGAGGGGCTCCTTGTACATGATGGCCTGCTTTACTCTCTCCATTGTGGAGCCCCAGATGAAGTAAAACACCACCCTGGTGATGGCCTTTCAGGTGTTAACCTAGGGGGCCAGACCTGGGTGAGGTATTACAAACACATTTAAGAAAAACAGAGGATAAGTGAGCGCTTATGTGATAGTATATAATGTATAATAAGCAGCAGCTGTACACCCAAAAGGCACCGTATCAAACCTTCAATAGCATATATGTGAACAGGGAGGTGCAGCGCTGTATAACCAAACAAATAATAATTACACAATAGTGAACAGTGACTGTAAATTAGTAATGCCACTATATGGTGGCTCCAGGTGAAGAGAGTGAAAAACAGTCCAGTGAAGGAGTGCTCTTAAGATCCAGGGTGATCTTCAGACGTCCAATATACAGGACCATCAGGTGATAAAATATAAAGACTGCGCACTCACCAGATACGCAATCTTTATGCGCATTTGTGTAAAATTATCACTAGGCCTCCTGTATCATCATCCTGGTCTGGTCAGATCTGGTCAGCATATCCCTCATGGCCCGGTAACTGGATGGATGCAGCTGTTCCGTAGACTTGGCCGGTTCTCACCAGAACTGCTCAGAGGCTGCCCACTTGGTTTTCCATCCTAGAAGCACACTGACAAATTCAGGCACTGCCTCGGGGTCTTTATTACCTTTTATTACAGATCCTTAGAAAGTTCTGAGAGAAGAAATGAAGGTGCAGGATACTCAAAAGTAACTGCAGCTCTTGGAGGACAGTTTCCTAAAAAGTCCTTGTGCAGTATTGGGCCCTATAGAAGCAGCCACAAAAATAATGCTGAGAAGAGACAGCCAGTAAATCTGAGACCCTATGAGAGCAGCCACAGTCCGTAGACTTGGTGAGACCGGCCAAGTCTACGGAACAGCTGCATCCATCCAGTTACCGGGCCATGAGGGATATGCTGACCAGATCTGACCAGACCAGGATGATGATACAGGAGGCCTAGTGATAATTTTACACAAATGCGCATAAAGATTGCGTATCTGGTGAGTGCGCAGTCTTTATATTTTATCACCTGATGGTCCTGTATATTGGACGTCTGAAGATCACCCTGGATCTTAAGAGCACTCCTTCACTGGACTGTTTTTCACTCTCTTCACCTGGAGCCACCATATAGTGGCATTACTAATTTACAGTCACTGTTCACTATTGTGTAATTATTATTTGTTTGGTTATACAGCGCTGCACCTCCCTGTTCACATATATTACAACACATTTGGCTTGGTCACCTAGGCATTAACAACCTCGAGTCATGAAAGGGTTTCAATGTCCTCCAAACCTAACTTCGAAGTGACCACATAAGCTGCACTTGTTGGTTATTTGCATGTACTGTGCAGGGGCGGACTGACAACTCATGGGCCCCCCGGGCAACAGGGGATCATAGGGCCCCTGTGGCCTTGCCCAAACTCAACAAAGCCTATGAAAAAGGTACCAGGGGCATCTCATGGGGCCCCCTACTGACCCCGGGCCCTCTGGCAGTGCCCGAGTTTCCAAATGGCACTGTGAGTACATTTCACTTTATGTGCAGGTAAGGAGCAATATGATTAATGACGAGAAAATAGTTTAGCAAATTAGGCAAATAACATTTTTGTATTCTGCTAAATATCTGCATTCACATTGGTATAGTCTGTCAATTATCCTATCATTCAGGAATTACAATTTCTAAGATTCCTAAACAATGTGACCAGTAATTGTCCTAAATCCTATATCCCCATTTCCAAATAATTATTTCACAGGAAGTTAGAGAATGTTTAAAGCTGCATATTTTTTGTTAAATAATATTGTATTTTTGCATATTTTATTTTTTTCTTAGAAAAGATACAGGAGGAAATAGATTCAGTCATTGGGTCAGGCAGACTGCCCAGCTTTGCTGACCGCTTGAAAATGCCATACACCAATGCTGTCATCCATGAAATAATGAGATACTTAGAGCTCGTCCCAATGGCACTTCCACATAAGGTCACCGAGGACACCAACTTCAGAGGCTTCACCCTCCCCAAGGTGAGATCCACTTAATTTTGCTGATTCACCAGTAACTCTTCCTGACTCAAGGTGAAAAAAACATTATCACCTGAGAACAGGAACTGTGATAGGACTACAGAACACTCTTTTCTTTTTTGCATAACGTGGGGGGGGGGGGGGGGGATCTTGAACTTGATAGAGCAGAACTAGGAACAATGTAACTAATAATGGTCGGCACAGACTTGGGAAGCTAACTCACAAGATTTCTGGCAGATCAACAGGCAACAGAACAATGGCACAGGACGACGGCTCACTGTGTCCAACCCAGCCGGGCCATAGACGTCCTCACTGGGAAGTGGAATATCGGGGTATGGCTGTATTGGCATGCCATTACTTGTCATCCGGTGATTCTCTAACCGATAAAAGTGGTCAAAGTGGAGGATTCACTGCTGAACCACTTTTAGAAGCTGCGGGAGGCATCACCCCCCTTTCTGCCACTGCTAAAAGTGATCCAGTGACGGTTCACGGGCTTACCTGGATGATTGAAAACTCTGAAAACTGATCCAGTGGCTGCTGCTGCGTGTCAGAGAGATGAGTGGAGGAAAGATGGCCTCCACTCATCTCTATGGCCTAGGAAGACCAGAACGATGTCAGATGTCACTTCCATCATAAGTCCATTTTTTTTAAAGCACTAGATCAATGTTGTTTTTTTTTTTTTTTTAAATCTAAGGCAGGGGCGGACTGACCATTTGTTAACTCTGGCACTGCCCAAAGGCCCGGGGTCAGTAGGGGGCCCCATGAGATGCCCCTTGTACCTTTTTCATAGGCTTTTTTGAGTTTGGGCAAGGACACAGGGGCCCCATGATCCTCTATTGCCCAGGGGGGCCCCATGAGTTGTCAGTCCGCCCCTGATCTAAGGATTTTCATTGTATAGGAGAGATGTGGGGTTTAATTGACCCCAGATCTCTCCATAAAGAGGACCTGTCACTGCTTATTTCTATCACAAGGGATGTTTACATTCCTTGTGATAGGAATAAAAGTGATCAAAAATTTTTTTTTTTAAAGAGACAGTGTAAAAATAAAAAACGTAATAAAATTAATAATAATAGTAATAATAAAAGTTAAAGTGCCCCCATCCCCCTGAGCTCGTGTGCAGTGGTGAACACATGTGTAGGTTACCCCCACATATGTAACTGGTGTTCAAATCACACACGTAAGGTATCACCGTGAATGTCAGAGTGAGAACAATAGACCTAGCACTAGATCCCCTCTGTAATTCTAAACTGATAACATGTAAAAAAATTTTAAAGCATCATCTATGTTGATTTTAAAGTACCATAGAGCACAATTTTAAAGCATGGCATGATGGATATCTATTTACTTGCCATAAAATCATCTTTCATACTGTACAAAAAAAAACAGATTCTATATTGATTTTTTTTTTTTTTAAATTCATCAAAGTGTTTTTATTTTTCAAGAAAGTTGAGTTTATAAAATCTCTGCACAAATACGTGACGTAATTTCAATGACTGCTAGAAAAAAGATATATAATGTTTGGGGTTTTAAGTGATTTAAAAAACCCACTTATTTTTACATTTATGAGAGAAGTGTCAGAACTGACCTGGTAAGTAAGTGGTTAACCACTTGCCTACCGGGCACTTATACCCCCTTATTTACCAGGCCAATTTTCAGCTTTCAGCACTGTCGCACTTTGACAATTGCGCGGTCATGCAAGATTGTACCCATATGAAATTTTTATCATTTTTTTCTCACAAATAGAGCTTTCTTTTGGTGGTATTTAATCGCTGCTGGGTACTTTACTTTTTGTGCTATAAGCAAAAAAAGTGCAAAAAATTTTGAAAAAAAAAAAAAAAGTTTTTTTTGTTTCTATTATAAAATTTTTCAAACAGGTAATTTTTCTCCTTCACTGATGTGCGTTGATGAGGCAGCACTGATGGGCACTGATAGGTGGCACTGATGGGCACTGATAGGCAGCACTGATAGGCGGCACTAATGAGGTGGCACGGATAGGCGGCACTGATAGGCAGCACTAATGAGGTGTCACGGATAGGTGGCACTGATATGCGGCACTGATTGGTGGCACTGATAGGTGACACTGATAATGGGTACTGATAGACAGCACTGATAGGTAGCACTGACTGACATCACTACTGGGCACTGACTGGCGGCACTGCTGGGCACTGACTGGCACAACCGCTGGGCACTGACTGGTGGCACTGACTGGCAGCACTGCTGGGGCTGCACTGATGGGCACTGGTGGGGGTGGCACTGGTGGGCACAGGTGGGTGGGCAAAAGTGGGTGGCACTACTGGGCACAGGTAGGTGGCACTTCTGGGCACAGGTGGTGACACTGCTGGGTGGCACAGTTGGGCGCACTGCTGGGCACAGGTGGGTGCATTGCTGGGCACAGGTGGGCGCACTGCTGGGCACAGGTGGGCGGAACTTGTGTGTTGGCACTGCTGGGCACTGATCATCAGGGCACTGGTGATCAGTGACCCTGATGATCGGTGCCGATCCCCGCTCTGACAATTGCCGGTTTTCGGCAGTACTTTCCTCACAATCTGACAGCGTGAGGAAAGTGCAGCCGAGAACCGGCATTTGCATTTTCCCGGTGATTAGCGTGTCATTGGACACGGCTGATCACGTGGTAAAAGGCCGCTGTGATTGGCCTTTTACCACGTCACATGATCAGCTGTGTCCGCTGTGTCCGGGGGGGGCGCGCAGGAGAGCATGTTCTGGGAGGACGTCATATGACGTCCACCCAGAACTGGCCGGGCCGCAGTGCAGCCGTCATTCGGCTATCTGCGGTCGGCAATTAGTTAAACCAGTAATGTAAAACAGCTTAATTTCTTCTCTTCACCTGCAGGAGAGATCCCTCAGATGCATTTCGCCCCCTAGTGAGCGGAATCATTGTGGCACTATCTTCTAGGGGTCGAAACGCGTCGGTGGGAGGGGAAAGCAGAGTCATCTGGCATTACTGATTTAGTCCTGTCTGCAATTGGTTGCTATTTTTCTGCAGCATATTGTAGCCTGACAAGCCATTTTAAACAATTTATGCCAGTTCATTACATGTCTTTTTGGCCGATATCAGTGATGAGAGCATAGAGTGTTTACATTTTTTGTTTTATCTACAGATCAACAGGCAAGTTTTTCATTTTATTTTATTTATTTGTATATTATATTGGACGAATCAAACAAAACACTAACAATGCTACCGTATATTTAACAGACCAAAAGCAAGCAAATAAGAGAAGTTCTTTGATCGGGTTTTCTGTATATTCATTTTAATAAGGTGAATCATTTACTGGAGTTACCTGGAATTTTAGGTGACTTATATAAATAAGGACAGGACTGGAGAAATTTTTAACTACTTGGTCAGCATTTCTGCAAAATGTTGTATCTCTGTACTGGATATGGATACAGAATGTTGTAGTAAAAAAATTAACTTTTTAAACTATAAAACTGTAAAAAAAAAACAAAAAAGTACAGATTTACCTGCCAATCTAAATGTACTGTGTATCTGACCAGCCGAGAGGAGATAGAGCAGGGAAGCCGTACTGTGTTTATTTATGCATAGCTATTTTTGTACCATTTAATAAAAAGTGTTGCTTTACTTGGTGATCCATTAATTTTATGTTTTTATTTAGTTTTTTTTTTTTAAAAAAAGTAAATGCTCTTTAAGTATATTTAAGTGATAAGAATCTCTCTTAGGCACATAGGATTTTTTTTCATACACATTAAAATGTGCATTTTTGGCATGCAAATTACTTACCAGCCCAATGAAAATTTATATTTTCTGAAAACAGAAGAACCTATTGAATAAAAAGTTAGTAATTGGAGTTTTTGATGATATTTGAAAACATTTTTATCAAACCTCTAGCTAACATACAGAGTGCAGACTGAGGCTATGCAATGTTCTGTATGTAAGACAGGGCTTTTTTCTCAAAGAATAGGTGCAAGTACTCCTCCCTTCAGTATGACCCCTTGTCTCCACCCCACACCCACCTCTGAGTACTGTCCCTTGGTTCCACCCCCTACCCACCTCCCAATACTGCCCCTTTTAGAAAATACAGGATCAAATGTGATTTTGTGGTGCTAAGTAATTTGTATGCAATTTGATAATGATAACAAGAAAATTTGTTAAATAGATCCCTTGCAGTCATAAGCAATAGATCCCCCAGCAACTATATATCCTCCTCAACAAAATACCCCCAGCAATAAAAGATCCTTCTCGGGCAAAAATACACCCCAGGAGGATTTGTCCATGAGCAACAATAGATTTCTCAGAAGCCAGCGTCAATAGACCCTCCAGCAGCCAGTAACAATAGACTCCTCCCTCAATAGTAGATCCCCTCCCAGCAAAAAATTGACCCCCCCAGCAACAATAGACCTCCCCAGCAACCATGGCTGGATCTAGCCTGCCATATGTGGAGGTGCAGTAAAATAATTTCAGGGGGGCAGAGGATGCAAGGTCAGCAGGACAGTGTATAGTAATCAATAGGGAAGTGTAGAGGGGTCAGAAGGATGGAAAACAGGGGGTCAGCAGAAAGTAAGATAGGGGGTCAGTAGGGAAGTGTACAGGGGTCAGCAGGATGAAGGAAAAGGGGTCAGTAGGGCAGTGTACAGGGGTCAGCAAGGCAGTGTATAGGAGTCAATAGGGAAGTGTGCAGAGGTCAGAAGGATGGAGAACAGAGGTGAGCAGAAAGTAGGACAGGGGGTCAGTAGGAAAGTGTACAGAGGTCAGCAGGATAAATGGAAAAGGAGTGAGTAGGGCAGTGTACAGGGATCAGCAGGACAGAGGACAGGGGATCAGAAGGACGGAGGACAGAGGATCAGAAGGGCGGAGGACAGGGGATCAGAAGGACGGAGGACAGGGGATCAGGACGGAGGACAGGGGGAAGGATGGAGGACAGGGGATCAGAAGGATGGAGGACAGGGGTCAGAAGGACGGAGGACAGGGGATAAGAAGGACGGAGGACAGGAGGTCAGCAGGATGGAGGACAGGAGGTCAGCAGGAT